CCGAGTGCTTATTGACTACTGCTACCCGTCCCTTCAATTTGCGCTCTGCGCGCCCTCTCATTTGGACAGTCAGTCGCTCGACCAGCGAGAGCGCAGTCTCAACAGCGCAGCGTCACCTCGCGTCGCGTCGCGGTGCGGCGTTGAGGCGGATGGGCGGCGAGCGCCGGAGAGCGACTAACTGAAATCATCTGGCGCGGGCGCTCGTTTGAAATTCATGAGGCGCAGCGATCGCGGCGCGCGCAGGAATTACCGCCGAGGAGGCCGCGTGCTGCTCGCCTCCCGGCCCCCGCCCCCGCCGTCCGCGCCCCGGCCTCGCCCCTGCCTTGCCCCCGCCCTCCGCCCTTTTACGACCCTCCCCTGGCCTCCGCCGCGCCTCCGCCTCCGCCCCGCCTCCGCCCCGCCTCCGCCCCCGTCTCCCGCCCCCTTATGACCCCGCAACCCTCCCCGCCTCCACCTTCGCTCCCTTACGACTCCTCGCCCGCCCCCCGCCTCCGCCCCCGCCCTCCGCCCCCGCCTCCGCCCCCGCCTCCGCCCTCTTACGTACCCCTCCCCTGCCTCCGCCGCGGCCTCCGCTCTCCGCCCCCGCTCCGCCCCGCCTCCGCCCCCGCCACTCCGCCCCGCCCCCCTCCCGCCCCGCCTCTCCGCCCCTGCCTCCGCCCCGCCTCCGTACCCCCGCCTCCCCGTCTCCCTTCCGCCCCACCTCCGCCTCCCCTCCGCCCCCTCCGCCCCACTTCTCGCCCCCTTATGACCCCCGCATCCCTCCCCGCCTCCGCCTCCGCCCCGCTCACCGCCCGCCTCCACCCCGCTCCGCCACCGATTCCGCTCCCACGCTTCGCCCCCGCCGCCCCAATTGGCGACCTGGCTCGCCGCTCGCCCGTCCTCCGAATCTCGCCCAGTCCTGGCTCCCGCCTCCGGTGGCCTCTCCTCTCTCTTCGTTTTACCCCCGTCGCCGCCATCCCCCTCCAGCTGCCACCCTTCGATCACTGGTCTCTGGCATCCACCATGCCATCGCGCCACCACGCACCACAATCAACTTCCGCCGGCGGCGCGCACATATCTCACTACCCACCACCAACACGCCACCGGCTACCAATCCCTGCTCGTCACCGCTACCGCTGCCTCCGTCACCACCACCCACCACACCACCACCGATCACCCACCACCGTCGCCGCCTCCACAGCGCCCTCCCAACGATCGCTCCGCCCCGGCCTCCGCCTTGCTGATGGATGAGGTTGGAGATGCGCGGCACGGCGCGACGTCCGAGTCTCGTTGACGAGCCGGCTCTTCTCGTCTGCGGTAAGCTCGTCGGAAGGGAAGACAGCGCGCCGTTACCGCCAATGGGGATTTAATGCTCTTCGGGAGCGGGGATCGATAACACCTCCGATGTATACGAGAGCTTGGGTCTGAAATTGTATATTCGCGCTTGAATGCGCCGTTTGACAGGTTGCGATTGTCGACAGCTGTCAAATGCACTATGAAACGTATTCTGTGAAGCCACTGATCCTTACGTCATCGGTTTCAAATCAATATATCATGAAGTATTTCCAGGAGCATTTTAATGTTTCACTAATGACGTTAGAAAAGATCCATACATTTTTTCAATGTTCGTTTTGTTATGCCCTTAGGCCTGTAATTTTGTAATGTTTTTAGGATTTGTGTTTTAATTTTTTATTACTGTTTAACAGTTGTTGTTTTTAAATAAAGATAAACGAATATTAACAGAATTCTTTTCTCGGTTTTTATTATAAGCAGTTCTCTAAGTGCCAAAGATAAAAAATTAGCGAATTCATTCTTCTTCTGCATGAAATACATATATTGCCTGAATCATATTGAATTGTAACCAGAACAGTGAATTGCGAGAAAGATTATTCATGTGCAACCACTGTACCACGAGGTACGATTCCAAAAATGTATTACCTCTTGAAACTCAACTTCGTACCAAATAACTTAAACATTCTCCTTGTATTTTTGCTTAGATATTTAGTATTTTTTTTAAATGCATAAACAGTACATACGAATAAGTTCCAGGAATTATATTTCAATGTTCCTGCTCGTCGACAAAGCGCGTGTTGCGGCAAATTTTGCGAAGGCACGATTATGTTTCTTCATTACTCCGACTGTAGACTCTTTAATATAAACTGCCCTCTCTGCTCGGGTAGAAATTCATTGCATTTTTAACGAAATAAATTCTCTCTTTAATTCACTCGTTTGTTTTAAAACCGCTAATTTATCACTCTAAATGGAGTCCGGTGTTCTCTTGCGCTATAAATTTTGCGTCTGCCACGGCGATGAAAACGAGCATACGCTTGTTTGAAAAACGGGGCTGGCTAAATAGGGTGATGATAGATACAAACATTCCTGTGTTGTCTGTGAATATATTGCGTTCATAAAGGCTGACACTGAAGCACCATATGCCATGCTTCTGCCCCTTACTGTTCCCCATTATACGACTCGGAAACGACAGCCCACGCAATGGAATGCTGTCGCGAACTATTATCGAAGCTCGTTAGAGGGAACAACAGCAAAATTAGAATATCGCCAACCGATGGATCGTAATGAAATGTGTTTTAAGAATGAATCCTTGATCACTTACTGAACATTAGAAATTAATATTATTTTATAGGTTATCCGTATATCATGGATTCGATGTACGATATTATCCATATTTTATGGGTTCCGAAATTAACTTTGTGCAGCGAATTCTGTACCGCATGTTGACTCTTGACATTTTTACACCTTGGACCTATTTCCGGTAAGGAAATTCGAATGTGTCTTTTTCAACTTCTTCATACAAGTAACTGTAGCTCTGAAGTTGAATAAGTGTAGCTAGATTTTCCGAATGAGTCCGGAGAATTCTGCGGTCAACGAGAGCTTCAAGCACCGACACCTTGCGAACGTTTTCCTTCTGTCGGAGGATTGTGACGATTGTGTTTGTGTTGCAGGACGAGGCGAGCGCGAGTCCGACGGCCGGCGACGAGGCGACGGAGGCGGGCGCGGCGGGCGCGGCGGGCAGCGAGGCGATGGTGAACGGCAAGGCGGGGCCGGCGGCGCTGGCCGCCAACGGCAAGGCGTCGAGCGGGAGGCTCCTGGAGTCGCTGGCGAACGGCGCGCCCCCGGCGGCGGCCCTCAAAGGCGCGGACGGCGGCGACGGTGGCGCCGCTTGCTGCTGGCGGCGGCGGCCCGCGCCGCTCGCCGTCGGCAGGTGAAGAAGCAGCTTCTCTCAAAGGGAACGGCAGCGCCCTCTCCGCACGCGCGCAAGCGGCCTCAAACGCGCGCTGCCCCTCGCCGCAGGGCGAGCCGCGGCATCCTCATGCATTCGGAGAAGGACTACGCCTAAGGCCAACGGCGGCGCGCCGGGCGCCGGCGCGCCCGCAATGGCGCAACGGCGTGTGGCCAAGGCGCCGCGCCCAGCCAAGCCCGGGAGGTGTCGCCCACCAAGGGTTCCCCTCCCAAAGAACCATGTCCGCCAACGGGCCATCCGTCAACGGACCTTCCCACCAACGGCCCTCCTCGCCAACGGGCCCTTCCGCCATCAGCCCTTCCACAAATGGCCCTCTCCGCCAACGGGCCCCCCACGCCCCAGCCAACAGCCCCCGCCAACGCTCAGCCAACGGCCCTTCCCGCCAACGGGCCCTTCCCCAACGGCGCCCCACTCTGCAGCCATCCGGCCCTTCAGCCAAGCGGCCCTTCAGCCAATGGCCCCCCTCCGCACGGCCGCAACGGTCCCACGCCTCCGCCAACGGCTCCTCGCCAACGCACCACCGCAAAAGAGTCCAGAACACAGCGCAAAACCCATCTCAGCCCACAGGCAGCTACCACGGGCAGCACAATCTCATCCGGCCCGGACAAGAGTCCGGCCAACCGGCAGGCAAGACTTCCACGGCCCGTAACGGGCAGCCTGCGTGGAACGGTTCGGCGCGTGGTGGGGCCGACGGTGACAGGGGAACGGCAACGCCTCCGCCCGACGACCGCCGGCAGCCCCTCGGGCGAGACGCCGGCCACGTCAACGGCTTCGCGCGCTCATGAAGGGCGCTGAGCTTGCGCCTTGGCGGCGACGCCGACAAGCACAGGTGCGCGCACACGTTATTACTACGTTGCGATAATATGTTGACTAGTTAATGTTACCAACTTCTAGAGACCCAGAGGGTGAGATAATTACTACTTGCCATGAGTCATGTGGGACAATTTCCGTAATAGTTCAACATGTGTGACTATTTTGCTCCCGATGGTAAGTTCTTGCATTAGGTGTTTGGCAGATACACATTGATGCAGTCATTAGATTTCCTGTCCTGAAAACATCAATTAGCGAGAATTTCGCATTATCCATGGGATGTCATGTTCAATTTGAAGTTGTGTAACGTCCGTTAAATGCGGATTTCCCGCACTACATTCATTGGTAAAACTGATCGTCTTCTACATTACAGTACGTAGAAGTTGTAACTTATTCAAGAGAGGACACTGCAATTTTCACTTCACGCACGTACATTACCAACACATGCTGGCGAGAACCAGTTTGGACTTAGTGTTAAGAGCTTTCGCGGCTGGGCCGGTGACCCGCTGGTGGGAAGATCCCTGATGAGAGAACCGATTTGGAATACAGCCAACGTATTGTAGGTCGGCGCTCGGTTCTCGCCATCTACGAGGGAAGATCATCGCACTCACACAGCGATAAAAATTATTCACTACATGGCTATGACTAGTTGCTGCACGATTCCTAATACAATAATGAATGTTTGGGGCCCTAATTGGAAAACATCTTGTACTTGTGAATTTTAACGAGTCTAAAAGTTTTACATATAAGTTTACACTATAATGAATGTATGTGCGAGCTGGTGTTATAGTTTGTATTTGAGTTTTATATTGGAGCAATCTAGCAATGCCCCTTGTTTTACTTCTGGACGTAATTGTAGCTTACTATGCGCCACGTTTTGTTGAATCCTCCGTTAGCTTGTAATGGAAGAGTAGAGGTTAAGGCCGAGTTTGCTATTTTGTTACGCAATACAGGAAAAATCATACTGGAATTTTTTGTACAGGCTGATGTATGACCAGTTTTCTTGTAATCAGAAACAAAAATACTATTAATGTTTCAAATCTCTCTGCGATTTAAAATTTATTAAAATGTATTTGTTATTTTTATTATGTTAAATTTACTCATCTTTCACTCTTTACTATAATGATGGGAGGGGGATTCTAGAACTCAAGAAAACGTGTGCGCAGAATAATACGAATGGTAATCAAATTAGAAACTGCTTAGTCGCGTTCAGTCGCCATCCTGTATTTGCCTCCCTACGACATCACGAACACATAGAGGTGTTTTTATTACTTTTTTTTATTTTTGATGAATATGTTCTGTATCTGAATTTGGCGTTGTAACGAATGTGTGAGCGAGTGTGTTTGCGTGTGGTGTTCCTGCAGGGGCGCGAGCGGCGGGCGACGCGCGGCAGCGGCGGCGGTGGGCGCGGGCGCGGAGGGGGCTGACGCGCGGAGAGGCCGAGGCGTTCCTGGGACCCGCGCCCGTGGCGGGCGTCAAGAGCAGGCGTTGCGCGCCTGCAGGACGAGCTGCGGCGCGGCGCACCAGGAGCGTGAAGCTGCGCGACGAGGAGGTTGACGCGCGCTCAGCCGCATCCGCGAGGCAGGGGAGGCCGAGCTGGAGGACTCACCGCCTCCCTCTTCCAGGGTCAGTCTCCCTGCTTGCATGTCGCCAACTTCAATCCGGGCAATAAATTAAAACTCTCTCATGAGGAACGGTATGACCTATGCATTAGAATTCGGGAAATTAAAGAAATCGTCTCTCCTCAAATTCTAGGTGTACGATCCCTAACCATTTGGAAGCCATATTCGTTGTGTATAATATTTTTATGTTATTTATATTTATTTATTTATTATTTTTAATTTATTATTTTATTTATTTATTTATTTATTATTTATTATTTATTTATTTATTATTTATTTATTTAATTTTTATTTATATTTATTTATATTATTATTTTTATTTATTTATTTATTATTTATTTATTTTTATTTATTTATTTATTTATTTTCGCAATAAGGTCGACACGCGTTGCATGCATCCTGCATTACGCGGGGCTGAGAAACATCTCGGTGCAGGACATGTAATTTTTTAGGATCAGGCAGTAGTTAGTGGATCCGATTTTTTATCGACACCAGGGATGGTCTAGCCCTGGTGGAATGGACGATGAATGATGAGGAGTGCTTGGCTATTGAGGACAGTTGGCTATGTGAGGGTTTCTCTATTAGCTACGGAGGGCAATGTGAAATCATTGGCTGACCTGCCGCCTGTCATATTAATTTGAAAATTAAGTTTTAACTGAAAACAAATAAAAACTCTTCATGTTGCGAAATACGAGGTAAAGTCGAAGGAAAACGCAGGCATCGGTATTCATCTGAGGCGAGGATAGCAGTCTGCTCGATTGAAGACCAGTACACAGCAATTTGTTTAGGTGCGACACAAAGCTGTCATTCACAGTTATTATTTAAATTTCAACCTTTTCACAAAATTGTGATTATATAAATTTTTCATCACGAACATCATATCGTAAAACGTAAAAACATGCGAACACAATACTCATTATTCAAAAAACTCGGGCTTCAAAGACATGGAGTTTTAATAAACATGCGAGTTTGAAAAATATCCTGTGTCCGGTTGCTCCCGGATGATAGTTTTTCTGCAGTTTCCAGAGGAGTACAAGACGAAGATGCCGAGTACGGTAGATTAACAAGCGGTGGGGGCCCCGGTCGCGGGCTATTCTTCTTTCCTCATCCTTGCCTCCTTTCCCTTCAACACACACTCTCTCGCATGGCACGACTATATGCAACACGCGTCGGGGTAGCGTCTTGGAAGCT